TATGTAATTTTTGTCTTAGTGTAACACCAATAATCATATTTTTTGTTGTTTTCTGTTTTATTTGTGAATAAAAGTGAAGTAGCTTGTGTGTAGTTATTGAGCAAATGTTAACCAAAGAATGAATTGATATTGTTTTTCCTTCAGCGTGTTCATGCAGCACGACCTGCTAATTCCAATTCTCTCACTTTTCTTGTCACAGGTACTTTCAAAATATTACTGTATTATTTTTGTAGATTTTTTATTTAACTATGACGTGTCATGTATATATTATGATTTGTTTCTTTCAGTTCTTCTGCTATTCATGATACTGAACTCTCACCAGATGTCACCAAATTTTCTGGTATATCCTTCCTACCAAGTTCATAACATTTTAAGGAATGCATTTTTTCTATGAATAGATAAAGTTAAAATTATTAAATTGATATGAGCTGTTGTTATGATTTATGTTTGTAGCTTTGGCTGGTCCTAGGTGTCTTCTTGATGGCTACAATGTTAAGGATGTATGCAACTTGTCAGCAACTTCAAGCTGAGGCTCATGCCCATACAGCAGCGGGCAGCGGTGGCCTTCTTGGGCACACTGAAGTACGATTACATGTGCCATCATCAATGGCACTTACCACCCGAGGACGTCTACAAGGCCTTAGGCTTCAGCTTGCACTTCTTGACCGGGAGTTTGATGATTTAGGTTTTGTAGTTTTAACTATGATAAAATCTCTAACATGCTGCTTCACAATTTTGTTTCTATAATATAATGCTTTATATTTTAGAAGTGTTAGATATTTTATTCATGTGCACTTTTTTGTTTTTATTTTCAGATTATGAAACTTTAAGAGCTCTGGATTCAGATAATGCTCCGCCAGCACCTTCCATGACTGATGAAGAGATAAATGCTCTTCCTGTTCACAAATACAAGGGTTCTGGTCTCCAGAAGTACGTAGTCAGTCAGATCAATTGTTATATTCTTCTTACAAATTTTAAAATTTTAGAAGTTATCTTTAATTATAGAACCACTTGTTTGATTAGAATTTTCTTAAAATGATAGCTTCCTTTCCAGGAAAGGTATGCCCAAATTTTCTGTGCATGCATTTCTTATATTTCTAGCTAATAAGTGTGTTTTCAATATTTTGCTATTAATAGTTGCATATTTTTTGCTATAAATGTAGTAGTTTGAACGATGAATAATGTGAGAAATCTTCTGTTTATATATACATCCATTGAAGGACAGATAATATAGAAGAACACTACATCTAAGAAATGACTTCAAATTATATTTATTGACAAGTGTGTGTGTGTATACAACCAACAAAATTTTATCAACTGAAAAATGCATTTTTATGGGGAAACTATTTCCAAACGACTTGCAACTCTGGAAAAGGGTGAAAGAGAAAGTAAGACACGTGTTACATTGATGGATTTCAGAGTCATGTTCCTTTTCGGGTTTGGCTTCATTAAGTTGCATTTCTATATATATGCTGACTGCTTTAGTGCTTTAATAGAAGAATCTTGGGTGGGATTAAACTTAGAGAAGTGTTTAAAACTGAGCAGAAAAGAAATATACACCGCTGTTTATGAAATTGCTAGGGTACACGCTTCTGGAATTATGGTCCTGAATACTGATTATCTGACAAGAAGCTGCTTCTGTTTACAGCAGGAAATCCTCAATGCAACAGACCTCATCTTCCACCTTTGCTGAGGTAACCTTAACATCATTGGTCCCTTTTCATTTGGCCAAAACATCAGATGAATCTCACAACAACTAGTTAAAATATCAATAATTCTCAGGAGGTGGTGTTTTTCTGCATTTGTTTCCCTTAAATTGCATATTTTAAGAAAAAATTCCTTTATTTTGGTACTAGATATATGTGCTGGAATCTACCCTTCTTGTTTTCTTTTCTTTTCTTTTCTTTTTTTGGGGGGCCATCCCATATGAAAATGCTTTATTTTCTCGAACAGAATTTTTATTTTATATCATTATATTCCTTGGAAGTGAGATAGTTTAAAAAAAAAAAAAGTTCATAGCCCGTGCACAGAACATATTTACTGCATCTTGCCTCTCTTTCATTGGAAAGTTATTCATTTTCTGAACTGTTAGTAGGCAATGATAGATCAACTCAATATCTTCTTGTATGGCAGAAGAAGCAAGATGCGTCAAATGCAGTTGGTAGTACAAAGGCCTCTGATGATGAGCTGACCTGCAGTGTATGTTTGGAGCAAGTTAACGTTGGGATCTACTCCGTAGCTTGCCCTGCTTACATCAGGTTCACACTGTCATAGCTTCTATGCATAACTTTCTCAGCAAACTGTCATGTTTATGATGGAGACTTAGTAGTACGGATATCAAGTCTCACATTGATTAGTATAGGATGTTCAACGAGGTATTTAAGTAGGTTGATTCTCCCATCTCAATGGCTAACTTTTGGGGTAGGATTTCCCATCTTACTTAGGTATCTATCAATTTGTATCAAAGCCTAGTTGTTGGCAATTCTAGGGCTTCCCTGAAGGATTCTAATCAGTAGGGAGCCAAGTTAGTTGCTATGAAGTGTAGCCACCGAAATGTTAGCTTTTCATGGGGGGACAATTGATAGAGACTTGGTACTATGAGGTACCAAGTCCTATATTGAGTAATATGATATGCTCAATGGGATATTTAAGTGGTTAGTTCTCCCACCTCAACAGCTAGCTGTGGGGCAGAGTTTCCAATCCTACTTAGGTACCCATCAGTTTACCATTTTATTGTATGTGTTCCTTTTCCGTTTGCAAACTACCATCTGAGTCAATATGAAGATGAGAAAACAAAATCAAGGTGCTTTAAACTGTATGAAGGAGAGAAGAACATGCTTTCACTTTTCAGAGTTTATAATTGACCTGATGAAGTGATTATCAGTTTTTTTCTGCCATTCCCATTATTTAGTCAATAACTTAAGTTGTTCCATCACATGCTGAGTCAGTCATATTCTTTTTTTCTTTAAGTTTGACGGTCATGTTCTGTTTTATAAATGCCCTCATTTTATGTACTAGACTACAGCTGTTCAGGCGATGATCTCCCCGCACATGCATTGCTGAGCATTAGTTTTGTTTTTTAGGTCGTCTTGTTCTGTTAGAGCAGCCTTGTTAACATGGTTGTACTACTCTCTTAAGAAATTAAGCAATCTTTATATAATGCTGAAATTGCCCTTCATGATTTGTTCTTTTATTCTGTACTTAAACCTGGTTATGTTCTTTGAAGTTTCATGCCAATTGCATTGACCCATGGCTGCGGCAACAAGGGACGTGTCCTGTCTGTAAATTCAGAGCAGGATCTACGTGGCATGAGAGTGAACAGAATGAAGTTGATGCTTCAGACATGGTTTGAATACCCGCTCTTATTTATGAATATGTTGATACAATCAACTGTAACATACGCTTATGCTTAAAAACCAGTGGTTTATGACTATTATTGGTGTAATCACCCTGTCATATTTACATAGGCATGAGTATTAGTAGAATACCGTGTAACAACTAAATGACTACTTGTTTTTGTTTGAGATTGCTCAGTTTATTTGACCCTCTAAAATTAGATTGGCTTATACGCCTCGTCCTCCTCCTCATCATCATTCCACCCCCATTAGATGCATGTATTATGGCTTTGTTCTCTAAATTTCTTTTTCCTTTTTAATTCCCTCCATTTTCTTTATTTAACGGTCAAGAGTTGATTGATGATTGCATGCCCTACCTAGTATCTAGATGGTTCTTGTCTTCGTTTATTGGCAGGCTCAGAGTATAACTTTGGACTTCACCGAATCTCGGAGATGATGAGTTGCAATGGAACATTTTCATGCGTAGATTGTAATTTTCACTCCTGTGGGTGTTTTTTTTTTTTTTAAATGGTTTTTAATATCTGTTGAAAACATTAGATCTAAGAGTTAACAAGTCATTTATTTTCATATTACCCTAAATAATTGAACTATAATCTCTAATTAGTATACTTTGTTAAGGGAAATTCTAAAAGTACTAGCTAATTTTAATTGAATTTCATAAAAAACTAATTTTAACTAGTTTTTATAACAAGAACAGGAGTAAATTGTTGGAAATGGTTTTTAGTTAACAGATTCAGCAATTTAAAAAAAACTATTTCACAATATTGCAATGAATTCCTTATCATTAGGAAACAGAAATTTAAATTATTCTTTTATTTTGTTGGGTCTACAAAAACTGGGATTATTAATTACACTTGGGAATTCATGCAGCTTTCTGACTGAGTTTGTAAGAGGAAGTCTCCTAAGTGAGACACAATCAATGTTTTAAAAACCAGAATCAGATTAATTGAAAAGATTAGTGGATTTCAATTTTTATAATTTAATCAATTAGATCGATAGTTAAACTAATAATTAAATAATTAGATAAAAATTAAATTAAAACATAATATCATATGCATATATAAAATGTATGTATAAGAAATAAGTTTACATTATTAACAAATAACATAACTATAAATTAACAGTATTATAAATTATAATTTTATAACTAATCAATTATAAATAAATCTTAATTAAATTAGGTAAAAGCAAAATCAAAAGTATTTATCAATATTTTAGGAGTTAGGAAAATGGCTTCAAATCATATTATATATATAAAAAAATAGTTGGTTTTATTAGATCAAATCTTTTAAATTTTCTGCTTTTTTTCTTAAAAAATTAGCTTTGCAATATTATGTTTAGATCAGGCCACTCTGTTTTTTAAACCGTCAGATCTAGTCCAGAACAATGGACGCAATCCTGTACGGGCCGAATTACGGTCCTCAGTCAGATACACATTGTAAATTAGAAAGCCTTTGGATTTGAATGATTCATTAAAAATGGTAACTGAATTTCTTAAACCTCACCCTCTCTTGGTATGATTGCCTGGTCACATTTGAAAGACTTAAATCCATACTGAACCATACACCCATAGCAGGTCAAAAGGCCGCCCAATGACATATTAGTCCAGCTCCACAAGCCTTCTACAGTCCATGGGAGGGCATATAAACTATAAAAAGCTGACATCAATTTAATATCACAAGTCAATTTAACAAGCCAACTAGAACATTCATAAACATAGCCTAAAATTATATTCCAGCACCTCACTAGCAAACGTCTTACATCGTCAACAAGAAGACCAAGTTATCATTTGAGGAGGAAAAACAGTTTATATCCGATGTCCTTTGCTTCCTATTCATTATGTTATGAAGTTACCAACTTAACATACGCAGTTTAAACATAATGGATTCAGTCTGAATTTTATTCATCTGAGTTTCCATTGTTATCATAATATCAAATCAATCTACGAGGCTTTTCATGAGTCCCTCCCTACTTTGCTTTCGCTTTACCCTTTCCTTGACCTTTCTTGGCCTCTAACTTGGCTTGGACACGAGCAGCAGCTGCAGCTTTTGCTTCCTCTCTCTTCCTTTTCTCCTCCTCTTTGGCAGCAGCAGCAATCTCTCTCTGCTTCTTCAGCTCTCTGACAAAAGTCACAGCAAAAAATCATGGTGCCATCCAATAAAAAGATGCATTTCAAGTGAACAAAAATCATGATTAGCTTCTGCCATCGATGATGCACAGATAAAAGAAACTAGTCATGTGTGCAATTTCTGACTTACTCTAGTCTAGCCCTCTCGTCTGAAACACTTCCCAGACTGGAACCCTTCCGGGGCTTACAGGCAACTAGCTCAACTTCAAATACAAGTGTCGCGCTGAGAGGGGAAGGGGCAAAACAAGTATTAATTGATATTCACTAAATTCTTCTAACAAACCAGAGTACAAGAATAGAAGGGAAACTGAAAGACTTCAAAAAATTACAGCGCAATCACCACTTCATAAAAAAAAAAAAAATTGCATCATCCACCTTAAAGTCATTACGAGATTCTAGAATGTCTATCCACCTCAAGCCTACATCTTATTCATCTTGTATTATTCCTGGAAACCATTAGGAAATTTAGGAAGAAAAGCCGTGAGAAGTGTTTTGGTCGGCAGCATGGCATTGGTCAGCATTAACTGGTTCTTTTTGGAGGGTCAAGGTTCACGCTAAGTGATCAAATCTTGAATAAAACAATGTTGATAAAAGGCTTATATTGCTACTTCAGCAATTTAAACAATTGTGTTTCCAAACAAAATGCTAGGTGCATGGAGTAGACAACGTACTCTGGGGGGATATCTGGTGGAGATCCTGCACTGCCATATGCATATTCTGGCTTGCAAGTAATTTTTGCAATTTCTCCAACCTAATGAAGACAGTTAAAAATGGAATGAAAAGCCCCAATTAGTTAAATATGGCATCACAAAATATTTGGGAAAAAAAATGTGCCGCTTGACCTTCATGGTCTTCACTGCAATGTCCCAAGCCTTGATAACACTGCCCTTTCCAAGCTCAAAAGTGAACACTGTGTTATCCTCATGTGTGGTATCAAATACTTCACCAGTATCGGCAAGTGTTCCTTCATAATGAACTGACCAAGACAAACAAATTATCACGACGAATCAATATTCAATAAGATTAGCATGCTCAGCTCCAATAAATAGTTTTTAAGGAAATAAAATGTGAACACCATGTCCAACAGTTTTGGTTACAATGCCAATAACTAGATTTATTTCAATTGCTTGTGTTAACCTCCCCTAGAAAAGAGAACCATAATGAAGTTGTCCAGCAATTTGAAATTATGATGGCAACAATACTATCTCATCCCTTACGTTGGAAGTAAAATTCAACTTCTTCCAAAATAGTGTGACAGATTCTGATCTACTTTTTCTAAGAAGTATCATATGTCTCAATAATTAATGGCACCAAAATCAGTAACAATGTTACATGACCAAAAAATATCCAGGGTCTGGTCCCACCATGCTAAATAGAGTGTGTTAAGGCTTATACTATATGAACTAGTACCACACTTTGCTCAATTTGCAACAAGACAAAGGATGCTTAGGTAAGTCAGTAAACCTAGTATTATTCTGTCTCTTTACATGGCAGCAAAGCCTCAAGAAAGGCTTCAGCTATTTCTGGCTTTAGGCTGAAGCTCCAATCACATCTCTAAGAAGCTCAAGGCCACTGATTCTCCCATATAAATCTATTATTCCATTTCTACCTCTTTTCTAGTGGCTGGTATATTTTTCTGGACCCAGAAAATTGTTTGACAATATACTTTGGGACCAGAGACACCAGGAAAGGCCTCAGAATTGTATTTGTAAAGCATCCTCAGCAATTGTTAGCCAGCATGTGATGGTGCATTTGATGTTGACACATAACAGACAGACAGACAGACTTGGCCAGAAAAGTCCTATTAGCCTTCCTCTGATGTTCCCAGCCTTGGTTTGGCATATGGTTCATTATATTTAGTGGCAATTAAGTCCTACTGTAGTTTTTTATGTGTTTCTTTTCTTGATGCGGAAAAAGAGGGGGAGGGAGAAGCAGAAATCAAGGGGGAGAAGAGAGAAATTGGCAGAGAGATGTAGATGGCAAATAATCCCAATCCTATATAATTCATCAAAATGTCTATAACAAGAATAACCGTAGGGCTATTTATAGAACCCTTATTACAATTATTAAAATAATAATAACTTGAACCTAAATAAAATAAAAGTAAATGAAAGTAAAATAGAGCATAAAATAAGAAACAGTCTAAGAAAACCTATGCTAGGCATATGAAGAATTAGCATTTAATTTAGTTTAGTATGAACTAATTTAATTTATTTTAGCTTGAATATATTTATTTCAAATTTGAATTTTAAGGCTCTAGTTTAGATTGATTAGGATTAAGGCTCCATAAATAGTCCTAGGATTATTTATTTGTAGACGTTTTCCTATTAGGTAATAATTTAGAGTACTTGTTTTTCTACCTCTCCCTCAACTTCTCTCCATTTCTTCCTCTTAATCTTCATTCTCCCTTCCTTTTCTTCTTCTCTTGACCCTGTCCTACATCAAATAAATTACTAAAACACTAAATAAATCCTTCCTACACGTGAGTTGAAGTAATTTGTCGAGGTTGTTAGAGTTACAAGTTTGAGAATGTTTCCATTCATATTTTAGGAAAAATGACAATTAAGGACCCCATAAGACCATTAATTACAATTAGGGATTCTGAATTATTGAAATCTCAATAATGAACCATGGTCCTTACTTGGAATTAAAAACACGAGTTTAAATTCAAAAAAAGACACTAATGAAATTACTATAATGGGTTGGGACTATTATTAATCTCAGTTGGAAAAACTAGGATCCATGCTTGGGAATAGGATTAGCAAAAGTCTCAACCCAAAATAGTAATTTCAGTAGTCCCAACCCATAACACTTGGAATCATGGTTTTCCCAACTGAGATTAACAATAGTACAAACTCATGATAGTAATTTCAAGAGTGTCTTTTCTTAATTTTCCAAATAATTTACCAATATATTTACAAGCATAAAAATTCACAAGTAATTGACTTCATATCCAGAAGTGACCTTGGTAAATTTTCAAGTAACTATCATATATACACAAGTACCTTTTGAAAGTTTCACAAGTGAATCTAGTCACATACTAGGAAACAACTCATTTCCAAGTGTGGTTCCTAATTTTTCCAACTAAAATTAACAATAATACCAACTCATAATAGTAATTTCAGTAAACTCCTGTTTTTAATTCCAAGTAAGGATCATGGCCCATTATTGAGACTTCAATAATTTGAGGGTCCCTAATTGTAATTAATGGTTTCATGGAGTCTTTAATTGTCATTTTCCCTACATTTTAAATGAAGCGTGTTTCTATCAAGCTGGAATTTGAATAACCTTCAACTTTAGGTGAAGTCATGAGATGGTTAGTGTGAAGGCCAAGATAAATCAAGTGTTAAGGTAAAGATTAGTGGGATTTGGAATGTAAACTCTCCAATACCCTATATACTTAAATTCACAAATATAAATAAACCAGAAAGTGGTGCCTGTTGAGGAAGAGTATCCATAATTTAATGACTTCAAATTTTCCTCCGAACAATTCCTTAAAATCCAAATAAGCTTATTTTCAAATTTTCAGAAATCTAATAGCAGGCAAGTTGTTGTGTCTATAGAGATCAAGCTAAGCTGAGCGTCCAAATTTTAATGGCATTTTAAATCCAAAATTTGCTAACTCCACTTTACCTTGGCATTATCAATAAGCTTTAGGTCAAATTTCAAAGATTACGAAGTTTGTTTTCTGAGCACTGCATGATGCCTAGATTATCCTTAGCTTATTATGCTATCAGTATTGCTATTCCTAACATCCTGCGCCCATTAATCCCTTTTAATCTGACATCTGCAGTTTATGCCTTTTGTTCACTTGGCCTGAGTTTTTAAAGTAGTTCCACTTGCAAAACACTAATCAATCAACCTCCAAATTTCCCCTAAAATGCATGGAAGTATGGAACTCATGATATAACGTTAGCAGATACTGATTATACTTGAAGACCTCTGACACAACACTTTTCTTACCTAAGATTTCTTTCTCTGAATAACAAATATAACTTACAGCATCAAAATTAGATATACCTCAACCCTAATTAAAATTCTAATTGCTGGATATCCATTGTAATTTGACTATCAGCGTCAAAGCACGAATGCATACTTCTTTTTTTTTTTTTTTTGACCAAACGAATGCATACTTTCTATGACCCAAGATCACTCCCTTTAACAGAGTTGACCTTCAATTACAGATCAGTATATCTTGCTAAATAATGAGATACCATGTTAATTGTTGAAGGGCAAGTACTTTAGTCATAAAGGACAGAAAGAATTTATACTTGCAGATATTTACCGCTGGAAACAAGGGCGACCAATATGATAATTTGATAAGCTTCTAACAAGAATAATGTACAATTTCTTAACAAACAGGAAACATGGGAGTTTATGTATTGAAAGCAAAGGACGAACACAACTGCACCTAAAAGGTGACAGCTAATTTGCATGTATATGACAGAAGAATTAAGATCAAGGTCCTGATTTTCTAGAAGAAATTGTGTCTTAACTAAAATTTTTTACTATAGTAGTAGATTATTTCTACTAAGTAGTTCATAAATATCTACTACTATAGTAACATGGGCGGAACAAACATACCATCCACAAGAGGAAAATCTTCAGTAGGACCTACAGCATCAATTTTGCTTCTTTTCACAATGGTCTTTATGACACCTCCATCCCCAGTCAAATCAATAGCATCACCCATGGTTTGGAAACTGTTAGCAACATTTAAAAAAAAAATTACAAATACAAAACACATAAATTGAGTATTGCCTTAGCTAATAGTCAGTTAACCCTTGTAAGGTCATCAACCTTCTAAAAGAGTATTTAGTAAGCTAAGAATGATAAATAGCCAACACAAACATGATTAAGATAGAAATATTTCTTAAGAGTTTCTTCAAGACACTTTTCACTACAAAACACAAGGAAAAAGGATAAAAGGAACATAGCATGAAAGGAAACCTGCTGCTTTATTTGTAGGCCACGTGAAGGGAAGGCCAACAAACCCCAGGGACTTTTCATACTTGAACAGTCATTACAGTTACAAAAGCTTGTGCACAAATATACGGATTCTTGAAAGCAAGCCATTTTAACCACGACGCAAAGCAAATAGTCCCTCAGATACGGTAGTGAATAGAAGGGAATATGATTGGATTCATAAAATGTCCTGATTCATTAAAAATCAGAAGACATTTTACAACGGCTGTTGTGTTTTAACTTTCAGCCTTTGATTAAAATAAATAGATAAATGAAAGGAATTTACCAAATAAAAACACAAGTGGTCAGAAAATGACAGCATTGCGAACAGAAATCATTGACTGTATGAATCAGTTTATTTTATTGAACAACGTATGATAACGCAGTTTAGACTGGTTTCTATTTATAGCACAATACAGGTAAAAGAAACAACAGTACGATTCTCCACCATATATTAGAGCATTAATTTCAACTTTTTCATATTCTGTCCTATATTTTGAGGGACGAGACCAGACACACAATCAATTAGGAAGAAATGACGTAATCACCAGCAATTCAGTAGAGTATGCTACACCGCGACTTCGCTTATATAAAACAAATAACAAATCAATCAGAAGCAACAAAATAGAAATCAAGCACACTGATCGTTATCTAAGTTCACTTCCTTGTATAGCAGCATTCATATCTATATATGCAATCTCTAGATGCACAAGAATTTTAAGTTCACAGTCGGGAGTTGAGCAGTTCTTAGCAGGCAAGGGAAGGGGGGGAAAAGCATCGATACTGACCACCTTCAGCTGGATGGCGATGGCGAAGGTGAAGCTTCCGGATCGAAGCGTAGGAACCGGTTAGTCGGGTCAACAGGGAGGCACGAATTTCTTAATACTTCGGTGGCCATATGCGTTTGAGGAAGCTCTAACGCAGGGAGAGCATTGTCATTGAGGAATAAGGGGCAAGGGGAATGACGACGCACGCGTCTGGACAGCGCGTGAAACGGAGTTTTCACATTTATGAGAGCGAAAATAACATTTAAAGACCCATACAAACAACAAAACGCATTGAAGGACCTTAATTTGCAAAATTCCACTCAAGGATCCAATAGATAATACAATATGACCTAACTTTGTAACTTCTACACGATTTTTATCGTGGCTTTGTATCTAAAAAATTAAAAAAAAAAAAGATAATATAATAGATGGTCTAAAGCTTGCAAGGATAAACAGTGACATTTTTTATTGGGCAGAAACAAAAACAAAGACATTTTTTTGTCAAAGGAAAAGACAATGACATTGAATTTGAAACAAAGGGATGTGCATTTTAGATTGATCACATATCAAATCATCTAAATAAGACATGGATAAGGTTGTACTAAACATCACCCCATATCTCAATCTGGTACCTAACTAGATGTATAGTTCAAGTGTTAGGGTTAAGTTCGGTCAAATTTATTTTGAAATGTTTTTTCAAATATTTTTTAATATATATATATATAAATTTCTTTTGTAAAATATACTTATGATCATTTAAAATATATTTTTATAAAACTAATATTAAAATGAAAGTTAATTTTTTAAAAATTTACATGTGATCAACAACTGTCAATTATTTTTATATAATGTTAAATTAAAAAAATAAAATTTAAATTTTGAAAGGGATTAAAAATTGTAATGTTAAGAAAAAAATCATAAAAATAATATAGTACATATTAAATCTCTACCAAAAAAATAATATTATAAAATAAATATTTTCACAAGAAAAAGATAAGTGTTTAGGCCAAGCAATGTAGGGTTGGATTTAACCCCTACTCAATGCTTGACTCGAATGTTATGGTTGATCAAGTTTTTGAGCAATGCAAGCAGCCTTAGTTCTACTCCCTTCGTTAAAAAAAAAGATATTTTTTAAGGAGTTGTACGTTCAAAAATATAAAGCATTTTTAATCTTTCGAGATGTAATCATTGCTCTTTTTTTTAAAAGTGTCCTAATTAATAAATGACTTTATATTTATTATAGAATATTTAATAAAGATAAATATGAAAAGATAGAGTTGGTTTGAAAGTAAATAACTATTTTATTAGGGGTAAAATTCGGTTAAAAATGCCTTATATTTTTTAATAAAAAGAGTATATATTAACAAAATTGTGACTTGTGGTAATCTTGTGTGATATGAATATACCGTAATTGGATAAAGTATTTTCCTTAGTATATCAGATTTCTCACTAAGTGTCTGTTTAAATTTTAATTGGATATAATAGATTATAAAAATAATTAATTAAATGATAGATTTTAATCATAATTAATTATTTTATAACACATATGTTTGGATATTTTTTTTTTAAAATTAATTTTAACAGAAATAAAAATGTTTGGGTAATTTATTCAAAATCAATTTTAGTTGTATAAATTACCATAAAGTACATTATTTTTGAAAATTAAATTATTGATAAATTTGTATTCAATATTATTAAATTTTTTAAATTTTTTAAAAAAATAAAATATATTATTTAAATTATATATATGATTAATTATAAAAATTTAAATTATAATAATATTTACAATTTTAATTCACTTAAATGAATAACTCAATATATCTTAGTTCAAATAAATTTAATAAAAGAGAAATATTTAATACTTAAATACCAAGCATCAATTTTTTTCCTTAGTATATCAGATTTCTCACTAAGTGTCTGTTTAAATTTTAATTGGGTATAATAGATTATAAAAATAATTAATTAAATGATAGATTTTAATCATAATTAATTATTTTATAACACATATGTTTGGATATTTTTTTTTAAAAATTAATTTTAACAGAAATAAAAATGTTTGGGTAATTTATTCAAAATCAATTTTGGTTGTATAAATTACCATAAAGTACATTATTTTTGAAAATTAAATTATTGATAAATTTGTATTCAATATTATTAAATTTTTTAAATTTTTTAAAAAAATAAAATATATTATTTAAATTATATATATGATTAATTATAAAAATTTAAATTATAATAATATTTACAATTTTAATTCACTTAAATGAATAACTCAATATATCTTAGTTCAAATAAATTTAATAAAAGAGAAATATTTAATACTTAAATACCAAGCATCAATTTTTTTCCTTAGTATATCAGATTTCTCACTAAGTGTCTGTTTAAATTTTAATTAGATATAATAGATTATAAAAATAATTAATTAAATGATAGATTTTAATCATAATTAATTATTTTATAACACATATGTTTGGATACTATTTTTTAAAAATTAATTTTAACAGAAATAAAAATGTTTGGGTAATTTATTCAAAATTAATTTTAGCTGTATAAATTATCATAAAGTACATTACTTTTTAAAATTAAATTATTGATAAATTTGTATTCAATATTATTAAATTTTTTAAATTTTTTTAAAAAATAAAATATATTATTTAAATTATATATATGATTAATTATAAAAATTTAAATTATAATAATATTTACAATTTTAATTCACTTAAATGAATAACTCAATATATCTTAGTTCAAATAAATTTAATAAAAGAGAAATATTTAATACTTAAATACCAAACATCAATTTTATAATAACTAATAAAGATGATAATATACAAGTTAATCTCTAATGATATCACGAATATGAGCAATATCTGATGAAGATGTTAAGTACTGTCTAGAACTTTTGGCAACATAAAAAATATAGTAATGTAATAAATGATGTAAAATCTCTTTCACTAAACCTTTGTAACAATCTTTATAATGACCCTCAATTTTAAATTAAATTAAATTAATTTTTCTCTTTCAATTAATATTTTATTTAAATTAGTTTTATAACAAGTGCTAAGTAAAGGGTGGTAATTAATAGAAACTTATACTAGTAACTTTTTTAAGGATCCAAAATTTGAATTTAACTAAAAAAATAAAAGAGAAGAAAGTCTGATTTTAGTTTTATTAAATTTTGTATCTTTTTTATAATTTTTTTGAACCTTTCTTGTAATTTTCTCATATTCTTTGAGTAATTTGAACGCGGAAGCTAAATCAGGAAGCTTTGAGGACAAATTGATTTTTTAGATAAATGGATGTTTCGATAATTTTGACAAATTTTTTTTTTTTTTGCAAATGAATGATTAAAACGCTATCCAAACACGTACTAACATAGCTACAAAACTTTGTTGAGATGAAAAGGTATTCCTAGGAGATCAAAAGTTTGTTGAGACGACAAACACACTAGAGAAAATGTTTATAGCGACCTGGCAAATACTTTTAAATTTGTCAATAATAAAATTATCATGAAAATTTCACTTAATAGTAATATCAAGAAAATAGAAGATCTTATAATGCGAATTGAATCAATCACTTATAATTATTATATATTTAAAGAAGCAAACATGTACGTGGGTAAACTTTCTCATCAAGTTTACCATATAGATGTTGCTGTTAGGATTCTTGACAACCCGGTTTTAGAGTGAAAGCATATTTTTGCCTAATCTTGTTCTTCCATGAACATGGCCTTGTATTGAAAATCAAGATAATTAAATTAATGATAAAACCCAACTTCTCTCTTGTCTACAACTTCTAATGCCTCATCTGGTAACATGGAATTGAGGGAAGGGAAGTAAAATTGGAAGTGAAACCCTTTCTTTTGATTGTTTGGTATGCAAGATCCTGATTCCTGAAGGAATCCAGTTTTATCAAATATGATGGAACTCAGTTCTATCACTTTATCTAGGGAATTGATTTCTATCCACACTTCCTCTCTTATTTTACCATCTTTACCCTTAACCTCTCTCCAGCCATAACGCCAATTTCATTAACAAAGTTCACCAACATTGACTCAAAGGAAGATGTGAGGTTGCCTGACCGAAAACTCCCAACAGAGCAGGAGAGTACCTTTCCAAGATCATGGTCGTAAATGGTGGGAGTAGAGGGCTATGGCAACTCCTAACCATGTCCATCCCTATTCAATCTGCTTCTTCAATGAGAGTGGTGGTAAGGTAGTGATGATGATGGAGCTTCTTCAATCTAGCTTTTTAATCTTCTTGCAAAGGTTTATTAAGTGCACAATAATTGATAACAAAACCAATATATGCAAAACCATAAATTTGGGGCTCACCTCCACCACCTCCTTCATAGATCTTCGAAAGTCCATGTAAAGGTCCAACAAGCATGTTTAGAAGTGAAATATGAAGTTTCGTGCTTTTTTATTTCTTTCTTTCTTTTTCCTTAAAATATGGTTCATGCTCCCTGGGAGATGTTTGCTAGGTATTGAATATTTTTAAGAGAAAATAACATCCAACGACCACTGTGTAAAATTTATATTTCATAAGGACCAAATGATTTAGTAATAGCACTGCAGTCCTCTAGTTCTTTTGAAAAATTAATTCCACAGGTGAAAAGACTGAAATGCCTCTTATAGTTAAGAAAAAAAGAAACTCCCACCATTGTCGGCGTGGCTACTATTTATCTATGAACTAAGGTTTTTAGGTGACCAAAGGTAGATTTGATCCTATAATCCTTGGCTACCTAAAAAGCTTAGTGGCCCTTTAATATATATATATATATAGGAAAAAAATTATAAGTAGTAAACCAAGTACAAAATCACTTCCATGTAATAACTTAATGTATGTTGTTAATTTCTAAACATAACTTGTTATTTTATGAATATCACTTGTTAATCTGACATGAATAATTATAAATTGGAGGCTTCAAAACTTGACTCATTTTACTTATTAAACATCCCAATATATTGTTGTCAAGCACAAATAGTTGTTGTCAAAACCAAACGAATACTTGTTAAAAAAAATTGATGGAAAAGGTTAGTACATGTTAGTCATTCACTAACAAGTATCCGTTTGGTTTTGACAACAAATTAATTGTGATTGACAACAATATATTGAGATATTTAACAAGTAAAATGAGTGAAGTTTTAAAATCCTCAATTTGTAATTATCCATGT